ACGCAGGTGGATCACCTGAGGTCAGGAGTTCAAGACCAACCTGGCCAACATGGTGAATCCCCAAGTCTACTAAAAATACAAAAAAAATTAGCCAGGCATGGTAGCAGGTGCCTGTAATCCCAGCTACCCCGGAGGCTGAGGCAGGAGAATCGCTTGAACCTGGGAGGCGGAGGTTGCAGTGAGCCAAGGTCGTGCCATTGCACTCCAGCCTGGGCAACAAGAGTGCAACTTTGTCCAAAATATATATATTGTATTATATACATATTTTTTCTGAGTAGATCTCAACAGTGGACTTAAAATATCAGTCATCCACACTATAAACAGACGGGCTGTCATTCAGTCTTCATTGTTCCATTTATAGAGCACAGGCAAAGTAGATTTAGCATAATTCTTAAGACCCTAGGACTTTTGGAATGGTAAATGAGCATTGGGTTCAACTTAAAGTCACCAGGAGTGCTAACCGCTAACAAGAGAGTCAGCCTGTCCTTTGAAGCTTTGAAGCCAGGCATTGACTTCTCCTCTCTAGCTATGAAAGTCCTAGATGGCATCTTTTTCCAATAGGGCATTTTGTCTACATTAAAAATCTGTTGTTTAGTGTCACCAGCTTCATTAATAATCTCAGCTAGATCTTCTGGATAACTTACTGCAACTTCTCCATCAGCACTTGCCACTTCACCTTGCACTTTTAGATTATGGGGACAGCTTCTTTCCTTAAACCTCATGAACCAAGACCTTCTAGCTTCAGATTTTTCTTCTGAAGCTTCCCCACCTCTCTCAGTCTTCACAGAATTGAAGAGAGTTAGGGGCTTGCTGTGGATTAGGCTTTGGCTTAAGGGAATATTGTGGCTGGTTTGATCTTCTACCTAGACCATTAAAACTTTCTCCATGTCAGCAACAAGCCTGTCTCACTTTCTTATCATTGATGTGTTTACTGGAGTAGCCCTTTTAATTTCCTTCAGTAACTTTTCCTTTGCATTCACAACTTGGCTAACCTCTAGCTTATGGCCTTTTTTTTTTTTTTTTTTTGAGACAGGGTCTCACTCTGTTGCCCAGGCTGGAGTGCAGTGGTGCGATCACCACTCACTGCAGCCTCAACTTCCTAGGACCGAGTGATCCTCCCACCTTAGCCTCCTAAATAACTGAGACCACAGGTGTGTACCACTACACCCAGCTAATTTTTTAATTTTCTGTAGAGATGAAGTCTCCCTATTTTGCCCAGGCTGGTCTCAAACTCCTAGGCTCAAGCCGTCCTCTCACCTCAGCCTCCCAAAGTGCTGGGATTACAGGCATAAGCCACCATCCCTGGCCCCGTCTCAGCTTTTGACATGCCTTCCTCACTGTGTTTAATCATTTCTAGCTTTTAATTTAAAGTGAGAGGCGTGAGACTCTTCCTTTCACTTGAGCACTTAAAGGCCATTGTACGGTTATACACTGACCTAATTTCCATATTGTTATGTCTCAGGGAATAGGAAGGCCCAAGGAAAGCAGGAGAGATGGGGGAATAACCAGTTGGCAGAACAGTCAGAACACACCCAACATTTATCGATCAAGTTTGCCATCTTCTATGGATGTGGTTCGTGGCACCCCCAAACAATTCCAATAGTCACATCAAAGATCACTGATCACAGATCACCATAACAGATGTAATAATTATGTAAAAGTTTGAAATACCGTAAGAATTACCAGAGTGTGACGCAGAGACGCGAGTGAGCACACACTGTTAGGGAAAAAAATGCCCTGATAGACTTCCTTGATGCAGGGTTGCCACAAATCTTCAATTTGTAAGAAACACAATATCTGCAAATTGCAGTAAAGCAAAGTACCGTGAAATGAAGTCTGCCTCGGCCGGTGTGGTGGCTCACGCCCGTAATCCCAGCACTTTGGGAGGCCAAGGCAAGAGGATCCCTTGAGCCCAGGAGTTGGAGGCCAGCCTGGGCAACACAGGGAGACTCCATCTCTAAAACAAAACAAAACAAAACAAAGCCTGCTTGTATTTATTGGGTTTACTCTCAGTCTCCGCCCAGAGACAGGGCCTGGCTTGTTATTAGTGCTCAGTTAATGTTTGTGAAGTGAAAAAGTAAGGACTTAGCCACTGCCTGTTCTTTGCTGTGAACATCTGACAGCTTTTATCTGCCAGCACAGAAGAAAACAAGGTGCAAGAAGAGAATAATGATCTCTGAGTCAGAATTTGAGGAACCCAGGTTAGTATCAGAAAGCTGGTAGGAGAAGAGAAAAATAAAGTAAATCAAATTAAAAGTTGAATGGGCCAGGTGCAGTAGCTCATACCTATAATCCCAGCACTTTGGGAGGCCGAGGTGAGAGGATCACTTGAGGCCAGGAGTTTAAGACCAGCCTGGGCAATATAGCAAGACCCCATCTCTACAAAAAATTTTTTTAAATTTTCTGAATGTGGTGGTGTACACCTGTAGTCCCAGCTGCTTAGGAGGCAGAGGTGGGAGGATCGCTTGAGCCCAGGAGATTGAGGCTGCATTGAGCTGTTACTGCACCACTGTACTCAAGCCTGGGTGACAATAAGTCCCTGTCTCTAAAAATAAAAATAAATAAATTCATTTTTTGTAAAGTTGTATGTCATGGCCCCTGCCTACTCTAGCTTCATGGCTTGCTGCTTGAACCTCACCATCCAAATCCCAGTGGTGACACCATGTCATTTCTTGAATTTTCTAAGCCTCCAGTCCCAAGCTCTCTGTCATGGCCACTGTCTCAGCCTGGAAAGTTCTTTCCCCACTGGCCAGATTTCTCCTCATCTCTGGGAATTTGACTTGAAGTAGGGGGTATCCCCAGGCCCCAGACTAGTTAACACAACCTGCTGTGTGCCCCTCAAAGCCATTGTCTTCTTAGCTGAGAAGGCATCACACCTGCAACAGATTCATTCATTGTGTGCATGTTTTTCTTAAGCACTTCTCTTCTGCATCAGCTCCGTGGGGCAGGGATAGTCTCATGTGTCACTCTACCCAGCATGTAGGATGTGCTCAGACGCCCACTTGTGGATGGTGGAAAAGTAGGTCAGTCCAACCTAATATGCCCATCTCTCCTCTAGGAGTAATCTTGAGAAAAAAAAGTTGAGCACAGGCTTTGTGTTAGTTTAGGATGACCCAGAATAGACCCTGAAACAAGAATTTAGGGCAATCCTTGTGCAAGTAGTTCATCTGAGAGGTGATCCCAGAAAGGGTTGGAGAGGAAGAGGGGAGGTGGGGCAATGAAGGATGAGTTGTCCCGTGGGCATTTGAGCTCAGTCCCACTGGGAGCCCATGTGGAACTTACATCTTAAGTGATCTAGAATGAGGGGGAGGGAGCTGGGGTATTGATCCACCAACTTCCAGCAATCTTTGGTTGAGGGCTGCTCCCTTAAAGTTCATTCCCTGGGCCTGCTTCAGCTTTGGAGAAAGCCCTGAGGCAAGAGGTACAGATACCAGTTGGCCACAGACTGAAGTGTTAAGACCCAAGCCCCTGTATAAAACTGAAAAATCAAGCCAGGTGTGGTGGTTCCCGCCTGTAATCCCAGATACTCAGTAGGCTAAGATAGGAGGATTGCTTGAGCCCAGGAGTTCAAGGCTGTATCGAGCTATGATTGTACCACTGCATTCCAGCCTGGGCATCAGAGCAAGACCCCATGTCTAAAATAAAAATAAACTGAAAAATCCCCAAGTTATTTGCCAACCTTCCATTAACCACAGACCCTCTGGTACTCGGCATTTCTTGTCCGTTATATGAAGTTCTGATGACAATCTCTTTTATTGTATTGTGCCTTGACCATGCACTGTACATCACTTAGCTCTGAAATGGACATGTTCAGGAAACAGGGCCAGGAGGGACCCTGTGTTTCAACAGCAATACTTTTACAAATGAGGTCTCATGACAGGGTCTTGCCCGGAGGGTTTCTACAGAAGCCTCATCCCACCTACCACTATCATCCTTACTCACTTGCATTTACAAAAGGGACTCTTTTTGACCAGAGGCTTGGGGTCCGTAGCTGCCTTCTAGCCGGCTGATGCCGGCTGGTCCACACAGGTGAGATCACACCCATTTTTTTGTTTTCTTATTTATTTCTGAATAGCTTAGCATACCACCTGTGTGCCTGGCATTGTGCTGACGACTTTTTATCAACTTACTGAATCCTCACAGCCCTTAGAGGTATTGATACTATTGTTATCTAGGGTATACAAAAGGGGGAAACTGAGGCACAGGGCAGGGACATTCTTTGCCCAAGGTAACCCAACTGGAAAGTGGCAGAGCTGGGATTTGAATCCATGCAGGCTGGGCTCTTAACACTGAACTGCTTTCCTGCCATTTGTTAAAGAGCCACAAACCAGGCCAGGCACACGCCTATAATCCCAGCACTTTGGGAGGCTGAGGCAGGTGGATCACTTGAGGTCAGGAGTTCACGACCAGCCTGGCCAACATGATGAAACCCCGTTTCTACAAAAATGCAAAAAAAAGTACCCAGGCATGATGGCAGGTGCCTAGTAATCCCAGCTACTCGGGAGGCTGAGGCGGAAGAATCCCTTGAACCCGGGGGCAGAGGTTGCAGTGAGCTGAGATCGCGCCATTGCACTCCAGCCTGGGCGACAGAGCGAGACTCTGTCTCAAAAAAATAAATAAAATAAAGAGCCGCAAACCCCGAAAGGTCTGCCATTCCCCCAGGGCCCCAGGCCACCCCACAACCTATTGTCATTGTAGGTTGTGAAATATCCTGAATGTCACCCTAACCATGAGCCATCGGGAAGTTTCCATTTCTCTCACCGCAACATTTGTGGAACATGAACCATCTGTTGGGGGTCTTCGTAAATCACCTTTTATCCCATGAGGCAGGTACTGTTAAGACCATTTTACAGGTGACAAAACTGAGGCCAGTGGTGTCAAGTCACCTGCCTGTGGTCACCCAGCCAATACAAGACGACTTGGAATCCCAAGCACCCCCGCCCTGCTGTCTGACCCCCGAAACCCACCCTCTGTTCTCCATTCTGGCTTCTTTCTTTCAGCATCTTGGCGACAGTTGGGACGGAGTTTGACCTACGGACGCTGAGGGCAGTTCGAGTGCTGCGGCCGCTCAAGCTGGTGTCTGGAATCCCAAGTGCGTGAGTTTCCGACCCGGACAAGGGGTTTGCTCAGGGGCCCCAGGAGCCCCCCTGTGCAGAGCATCTCAGGAGGCCACATCCCACCACCAGCCTGTGTGAGGGCAGTCTCCTCTTTGGGACTCCCTGAAGGGGACCCCGAGGAACGTGACTGTAGCTCCCCATGAGCTCCTGAAAGCAAGCTAGGAGCCACACCCATTTATTGAGCACCTACTGTCTATCAGGAGCCATGCTAAGTACCACATGTGATCTCATTCAATGCTCACAGCCCTATGAAGTCGATAGGACTGATGTCTCTATTTTATGGAGGGGGAAACTGAGGCTCAGAGTGGCGGAAAAATTGGAGAAGGGTTTTGTGGCTGAGAAGTGGCAGAACTAGGAGCAGGTGTGACTCCAAGCCTGGGCAATGACCATTCCCATTTACTGAGTGCCTGCTGTATACAGGGCACCGCAGGAGGACTTTACATGCATTACCTTATTTCATCCTCACAGTCATCCAGCGAACACCCATTTTACAGATGAGAAAGTTGAGGCTCAAGGAGGTTAAATTACTCACCTGAGTTCTTACAGTGGACACTTAACGAGCCCTAAAATTCATACCCACTCCTTGCTGTTTCTCATGCTCCACAGATGCATCTCCTCCCCCTTTAGGGGTGGCTGCCATATGCAGGGTCAAGATTAAGTATAGGTTGAGCCGAAAAAAATATAAAAAGCAAAAATAAAACAGGGCTGTCCTTTTTCTATCTTCTTGTCTTGGTTAATAATAATAATTTAGCCAGGCATGGTGGTTCACGCCTGTAATCCCAGCACTTTGGGAGGATCGCTTGAGGCCACAAGTTCAAGACCAGCCTGGGGAACATTGTGAGACTCCCTATATCTACAATTTTTTTTTTTTTTTTTTTAATTAGCCAGGTTGGCTGGGCACAGTGGCTCACACCTGAAATCCCAGCACTTTGGGAGACTGAAGTGGGCAGATAGCTTGAGCTCAGGAGTTTAAGAGCAGCCTGGGCAACATGGCAAAACCTCGTCTCTACAGGAAAAAAAAAAAAAAAAAAAAAAAAAAAAAAAAAAAAAGCAGGCATGGTGGTGCACACCCGCAGTCCCAGCTACTTAAAAGGCTGAGGCAAGAAGATCACTTGAGCCCAGGAGGTCAAGGCTGCAGTAAGCTGTGACAGCACCACTGCACTCCAGCCTGGGCAACAGAGTGAGACCTTGTCTCAAAAAACCATACAACAAAAAGTTTGAAAACAAACAAACAATGTATAGGCTGGGTGCAGTGGCTCACGCCTGTAATCCTAACACTTTGGGAGGCCAAGGCGGGTGGGCGGATCACCTGAGGTCAGGAGTTCGAGACCTGCCTGGTCAAAATGGCGAAACCCCATCTTTACTAAAAATACAAAAATTAGCCGGGTGTGGTGGTGGGCACCTATAATCCCAGCTACTTGGGAGGCTGAGGCAGGAGAATCATTTGAACCTGGAGGGTGGAGGTTGCAGTGAGCTGAGATCACGCCACTGCACTCCAGCCTGGATGAAACAGTGAAACTCCATCTCAAAAAAAAAAAAAGAAAAGAAAAAAAAGAAAAGCCCTTACTATGTGCCAGACATTATTCTAAGTATTTCCATTTTCTTAAAGTCACGTATCCTCCCAGGAAACCTGTGAGGTAGTCTCTCTTATTATCACTATTTTACATTTTACTGGCTTCGTTCTTCAGGCTCATTGCTACCCAGGTTTGAAGAGTAAGATTTCCCAGAGGATCACCAGCAGGGTCTTTTCATAGAAAGAAGACACGTCTATCCAAGGTCTCTGCAAGATCCCAGCAGATGCCTGCATCATATTAAATGAAGGGCCATCCCAAATCTAATAGTCCAAAGAGCCAGGTGCAGTGGCTCACACCTGTAATCCCAGCACTTTGGGAGGCCAAGGTGGGACGATTGCCTGAGGCCAGGAGTTCAAGACCAGCCTGGGCAACAAAGCAAGACGCTGTCTCTTAAAAAAATACAAAAACTAGCCAGGTATGGTGGTGTGTACCAGTAGCCTCAGCCACAGGAGAGAGACTGAGATGGGAGGATCGCTTGAGCCTGGGAGTTTGAAGCTGCAATGAGCTGTGACGGTGCCACTGCACTCAGCCTGGGCAACAAAGTGAGAGATCCTGTCTCAAAAAAAAAATAATATATATATACACACACACACACACACACACATATATATGTATATATATTATAATAGCAATAGTAACAAGAGTCTCCGTTTAATGACCACCTGTGACTTACCAGGTACTTCACTGTGTATGAACTCTCTCATTTAATCCTGTGAGGGAGATACTATTCCAGTCCCCATTTACAGATGGAGAAGCTGAGGTTTGGAATTCACTAGTAAGTGGATGACTATATCAAGTTCCCTTGAAGCGGATACTTAGGTGGGTGTTCAGACGCACCCGCTTTATACGGGCACGGCTCTCGGGAAAAACAGCACGAGGTCAGCAGGGTGGGGCAGGGAAATGGATAGAGCAGGGATGCAATTTCAGCTGGAATGTGTGTGACACGAGAGTTGTCCTCCAACGTGTGTGACAAGGATGCTGGCCTTTTGTACTTCTATGGTCAGTCACTGCGGATGGGAGGCAGAGATGCAGTAGCTCCCTGGTGAGATAGCTTTTGATCACCAAGGGCAATTCTACTAAGAAGAGGGGCAGCTGGGAGGCATTGACAACCGACATCCATAGCAGCTGGAGGGCGGGTACACCAGAAAGAAAATGGGATCTTGGCCAGACACCAAGAGTATCCAGCACCTTAACCTCTGCACCACACTGCGTCTGTTAGCACCCACATTGCATTTTTAAGCCCTTGGAGTGTCATGGCCCCTCAAGCTTTCCTGAAAGTTTCCCTCTCTTACTATGGTCTCCACCCGTCAAGAGCCATGGGAAGTTTCTCCATTCAAGAAGCAAAGGCCCAATCTATATGTTTGAACCTTCATTTTGACCATAGACTTTCCTAATAGATAGCACAGTGGTTACGGACATAGGATGTTGACATCGTTCAGACCTGCATTAATAGCCTCAAAAAAAAAAAAAAAAAAATGGTAGTGGAGCCGGGCATGGTGAAGTGTGCCTGTAGTCCCACCTACTCGGGAGGCTGAGGCAGGAGGCTCGCATGTGCCCAGGAGATCAAAGCTGCAGTGAGACGTGATCATCCCACTGTATTCCAACCTGGGTGATAGAGCAAGCCCATCTCAAAAAAAAAAGCCAATGATGGGCAAAGAAATACTAACTAAGGCTCTTGCTCTGTCGGCAGGCTGGAGTGCAGTGGTGCAATCACAGCTCAGTACAGCCTCAGCCTCCCCAGGCTCAAGCAATCCTACCATCTCAGCCTCCCAAATAGCTGGGACTCCAGGCACACAGCACCATGCCCAGTTAATTTTTTTTGTATTTCGTAGAGACAGGTTTTCGCCATGCTGCTCGGGCTGGTCTCAAACCCCAGGGCTCAAGTGATCCAATTGCCTCAGCCTCCCAAAGTGCTGGGATTACAGGTGTGAGCCACCACTCCTGGCCGGCTATTATTATTATGAACATTCTCCGAGTCTTACAACAGTGGAACTTTTAGTGTAGGATGGGAATTTCAGTATTAACCCCTTCCTCTCCCAAAAGGATTTGAAGCCCAGAGTCATTCAACCACCATGAATGAACCATTTGTTAGATGAGAGGCTACTGGAGGCTGAGCTTGGTAGAATGAGAGCTTGCATGGGGTGCCTGATTGATGGCAATACCCCCAGATTCAGGTCTTCAGATGCCCACTTGGGTGTGTCTTCTGTTCCACTGTGTCCCTTCGGGGACTGTTCCCTGCCTTCTTTTTTTTTTTTTTTTTTTTTGAGACAGAGTCTTGCACTGTTGCCGGGGCTGGAGTGCAGTGGCACCATCTTGGCTCAGTGCAAGCTCCACCTCCCTGGTTCACGCCATTCTCCTGCCTCAGCCTCCCAAGTAGCCGGGACTACAGGCGCCCGCCACCACGCCTGACTAATTTTTTTGTATTTTTAGTAGAGATGGGATTTCACTGTATTAGCAAGGATGGTCTCGATCTCCTGACCTCATGGTCCACCCGCCTCAGCCTCCCAAAGTGCTGGGATTGCAGGCATGAGCCACTGCCCCTGGCCCCCTGCCTTCTTATTCACCACCATCTTTCTGAATTGGGTTGCTCAGAACAGAGAAAGCAACATCAGCACATGGGCGAACATGGGGCCTCGCATCAGATGGACCTGGGTTCAAATCCTAGTTCTGCTTTTTTTTTTTTTTTTTTTTTGACAGAGTCTCGCTCTGTTGCCCAGGCTGGAGTGCAGTGGCGCGATCTCCACTCACTGCAAGCTCCACCTTCCAGGTTCATGCCATTCTCCTGCCTCAGCCTCCCGTGTAGCTGGGACTACAGGCGCCCGCCACCACGCCCGGCTAATTTTTGTATTTTTTTGGTAGAGACAGGGTTTCACCATGTTAGCCAGGATGGTCTCGATCTCCTGACCCTGTGATCCGCCTGCCTTGGCCTCCCAAAGTGCTGGGATGACAGGCGTGAGCCACCGCACCCGGCCTTTTTTTTTTTTTTTTTTTTTGAGACAGAGTCTCACTCTGTGACTCAGGCTGGAGTGCAGTGGCACAATCTTGGCTACTTCTACCTCTGCCTCCCAGGTTCAAGCGATTCTCCTGCCTTAGCCTCCCAAGTAGCTGGGATTACAGGCGCTGGCCACCGTGCCCAGATACTTTTTTGTATTTTTAGTAGAGATGGGGTTTCACCATGTTAGCCAGGCTGGTCTTGAACTCCTGAACTCAGGTGATGTGCTGGCCTCGGCTTCCCAAAGTACTGAGATTACAGGCATGAGTCGCCGCACCCTGCCTAGTTCTGCCATTTCTCATGCATTCTCTTGGGTGAATCATAGCATCTCCGTCAGCCTTGCTTTCCACTTCTGTAAAATGGGAGTGACTTTACATATATGGCCACCTTAGGGGTTTGTCGCTAGAAGCCAGTGAAATAGTGTTGAGTCTGGTTCCTTGGGGTTGAAATTGAGACCGCCAACCGCTTTCCCTACCCAGAGCAGCAACCAGCCTATATGGGCGCCCTTTTATGAATTAGGAAAAGACGCCCCCTGTTGGCAGCAAAAAAAAAAAAAAATAAGAAAATGGCTCCCTCTTCTGGGTGCAAGTTGCCCAGCACCCAGGAATACAGCTCCGAAAGTAATGGATTCCCACCCCTTTCTTGCCCAAAAGATCATCAAATGGAACAGCATGTCAATTACTTTTATTAAATACTTTACAGTTGGCTGGGCTCGGTGGCTCGCGCCTGTAATCCCAGAACTTTGGGAGGCAGAGGCAGGAATATCGCTTGAGGTCAGGAGTTCGAGACCTGCCTGTATAACATAGTGAGACCCTGTCTCTATAAAATACATATGTATGTTTCTTTGAGACAGCGTCTTGCTCTGCTGCCCAGGCTGGAGTGCAGTGGCACAGTCATAGCTCCCTGCAGCCTTAACCTCCCAGGCTCAAGTGATCCTCCTGCCTCAGTCTCCAGAGTAGCTAGGACTACAGGCATACACCATCATGCCTGGCTAATTAAAATACATGAATAAATACTTTAAAGTTAAAAGTGCTTTTTCAAAAATAATAAGGCCGGGCGCGGTGGCTCACGCCTGTAATCCCAGCACTTTGGGAGACCGAGGCAGGCAGATCACGAGGTCAGGAGATCGAGACTATCCTACTTAACATGGTGAAATCCTGTCTCCACTAAAAATACGAAAAATTAGCCGGGCGTGGTGGCAGGCACCTGTAGTCCCAGTTACTTGGGAGGCTGAGGCAGGAGAATGGCATGAACCTGGGAGGCGGAGCTTGCAGTGAGCCGAGATGGCGCCACTGCACTCCAGCCTGGGCGACAGAATGAGACTCCATCTCAAAAAAAATAAAAATACAAAAAGTGAAAAATAATAATAATAGGGGCCAGGTATGGTGGCTCACACCTATAATCCTAGCACTTTAGGAGGCAGAGGGGTTTGAGTGCTCGGAGGCCAGGGTTTCAGGCCAGCCTGGGCAACATAGCAAGACCCTATCTCTACAAACAAGTTGTAAAACTTAGCCAGGCATGGTGATGCACACCTGTAGTCCTAGCTATTCCGGGGACTGAGACAGGAGGATCTCCTGAGCCCAGGAAGTTAAGGCTGCAGGGAGTCTATGATTGGGCCACTGCACTCCAGCCTGGGCAGCAGAGCAAGACCCTGTCTCAATGAAAGAAAAAAAAAACCTAGGAAGGGTTGTTCCTATGATAAGGACCAGCCTCCGTGTGGTGCTTCCTTTACCATTGCCCAATCCCCAGGCTCCTGTGTGCTTGAGGTTCCCTCGGGAACACACCTGCTTTGTTTGGGAAAGACCTTGGCGTCTTGGTGGCGGGGTTTGGGGGTGCTTGCTCGTGGGCTTATGGGACCTCTCTCTGTGTCCCCCCAGGTTTACAAGTCGTCCTGAAGTCGATCATGAAGGCGATGATCCCTTTGCTGCAGATCGGCCTCCTCCTATTTTTTGCAATCCTTATTTTTGCAATCATAGGGTTAGAATTTTATATGGGAAAATTTCATACCACCTGCTTTGAAGAGGGGACAGGTAGGTCCACGGAGCATGATGCGTCTTTCCAGTTTTCTCCTTCAGGGACAAGCTCTTGGGAGGGTTGGGCAGGGGTGTGCTTCTTTCTCCTGGCAGCTGGGAGGATCGTCTTCTTCAGAGAGCGCTGCAGGAGAGGCAGCAGGTTCAATAGCCTCTGAGATCTTCGCTGTTGAAAGGGTTGGGGTTCCATAGAAGGTGACCCAGCAGAGAAAGAGTTTATCTGGGAATGATCCCAGGAAGCACCATCAGGAGAATGAGGAAGTGAGACAGAGAAAGGAAGGGATCTGTTACAGGGTGTGCTATCAAGTGGGTTATCAGTTACAACTGGGACTGGATCCCCCTAGGCACTTCTGGGAGACAGCAAAGAACACACAACTCAGCTGGGTGCAGTGGCTCACGCCTGTAATCCCAGCACTTCGGGAGGCCGAGGCGGGCAGATCATCTGAGGTCAGGAGTCGGAGACCATCCTGGCCAACATGGTGAAACCCCAGCTCTACTAAAAATATAAAAATTAGCTGGGTGTGGTGGCGGGCACCTATAGTCCCAGTCACTCGGGAGGCTGAGGCAGGAGAATCGCTTGAAGCCAGGAGGCAGAGGTTGCAGTGAGCCAAGATCACACTACTGCACTCTAGCCTGGCAAAAGAGCGAGACTCCATCATAAATATATAAATAAATAAATAAATAAATAAATAAATAAATAAATAAATAAATAAAGAACACACACCTCAGAGCCGTTCCAGCCAAGGGGCAAGGGAGCTGGGGTATTTATACACCGGCTTCTTTCTGACATTGGTGAGGACTGTTCCTAGAGTGGGAATTAATGCCTGGCACATCTGACTGAGTGGAACAGGTATTCTGGGTGCTTTCAGACCTCTGCCAGTCCTGACTTCTAAAGCAAGCAAGAAGTGGGGAGAGTTGGGCCAGAAAAGGGTTATTGCCTAAATGCATTGTGAGTGGTACCTTACAGAAGGTGAGAGTACTAGATGAGTCCTCCTGGTCTCCCCCAACCCCCAGGATGTATCAGAGATATCCCAGTTGGGAGTCCTGGCACCAACCAGTCAGAACCTAGCACTCAGCAGCGTCCTGCCCCTCCCTGACTATGCCCACATTAACCCTTCAATGGCTGGGTCCAGGGGTGGGGTGAGCAGGGGAAAAGCCAGGCAGCCCAAAGACACACTCCCAGGGCTCAGCTCTGAACCAGCAGTGTGGAAGCAGTGTGTCCACCACCATCCACACTCAGGAACCAAATAGCCCTTGGATATGTTTTCAGTTAAATCTTTGCCTGTCCAGACTCTAGCTGCTTGCTCTGTAAAGCTCCAGAATGAAATGGAACCAAGTAGGAAGGGATGCCTTCAGTATTTCAATATTTAGACCACTGGCCGTCTGGGTGCAGACAGACTGAATGGCAAGGCTGGTTCTGATGATTTGGGTCAAGGGAGCTGAGAATGGAAAGAGTGGATAGAATGAATTAAGAAGCCCTAAGGGGAACCGAGGTGGGCACAGAAAGAGGTCTCAGGCCCCTTATTTGGGAAAGGCAGCCACAGAAGATTCTGTCTGGGAGTCGATTTCCACCCACCTTCTCCATCCAGTGACCCCCAAGTGGATTTGCAGAGGCAGCCCCTGAGCCCTCCTTCCCCACTCCTCCCCAGGGGGAGGGAAAACCCACTGGGAAAGGTTTATTTCCAGTGGTTGGAGGTTTTGGTTTTTTGTGGGTTTTGTTTTTTTTTTTTTATCTTTTTCTCTTGCTCCTCCTGTTTTCTTCTCTCCTGGGCTTGTGAAGTTTGCTCAATATGGAATGTCCTAATTATTTCTTTCCCCGATGAAGAAGGTGTTAATTGAGGCAGAGCTATTTCTGCTCCTGGCCTCGTCACCCAGGCAGAAATGCAAGAGAGAGAGAGAGAGAGAGAGACAGAGAGAGAGAGAAAAAATATGAATACGGGGTAGGGCCTCTTGGAAAAATCAACCTTAAGCAGAGAAACCAGGACTCCTGGATCCTAGGTTTCTTTGAGCTTTTATTTTATTTTTTCTACCCTAGACTAGTTAAAGGAGAAGAGGCCACAGGCTTGACTTGGGTCCGAGTGGGGTTCTGAGGGGACAGATGTGGGTGGTGCCACCAGAGGGGAGGAAGCCTCGATTTAGGAGAAAGACTGAAAAGCTAGCTCACGATTAAAAATATAAGACGTGTGAGTAAGAGACAGATATATACAGACACCCAGGCAGTGGGTTAATTTTAAAATGTATTTATAACCGAATTCCTCAGACACTCTGGACGGTTGTTTTTCTAGAAGCAACGCTCAGAGTGTTTCATGTCGGTGGTTGGGGGGTTGAGGGGGATCGCAAAGCTGCTAAAGATAGACCCGTTTTCAGTAGCATTCCTCAGTGTCGGGAGCCCAGTTCCTGTGCGCCCAGCACCGTGCCAATCGCTTAGAAGGAAGCAAAGATAAAGTGGAAGTCTTCCTGCTTTCTAAGAGCTTCCAAAATAGTTAGAAGAAACAAGACCCCTCATTTGCAGCCATTTTTAACAGTGAAGACTAATGTGTGATTATACCCACGTCCCCCTAAATATGAAAATTCAGTAGCTATTGTATGCCTGAAAGGGGCCAGGTGCAGTGACTCACACCCGTAATCTCAGCACTTTGAGAGGCTGAGGTGGGAGTATCCCTTGAGGCCGTTAGTTTGAGACCAGCCTAGGCAACATAGCAAGACCCTGTCTGTACTAAAATAAAAATCAAAAATTGGCCGGGTGCTGTGGCTCACACCTGTAATACCAACACTTTGGGAGGCCAAGGCAGGTGGATCACAAGGTCAGGAGTTCAAGACCAGTCTGGCAAACATAGTGAAACTCCGTCTCTACTAAAACTACAAAAAAAAATTAGCCAGGCATGGTGGCATGTGCCTGTAGTCCCAGATACTTGGGAGACTGAGGCAGGAGAATCACTGGAACCTGGGAGGTGGAGGTTACAGTGAGCTGAGATCACACCACTGCACTCTAGCTTGGGCAACAGAGTGAAACTTCATCTCAAAAAAAAAAAAAAAAAAAATTAAAAAATTAGCCATGCGTGGTGGTACATGCCTGTAGTCCCAGCTACTCAGGAGGCTGAGGAAGAAGGATCACTTGAGCCCAGGAATTGGAGGCTGTGAGGCTGCAGTAAGCTATGATGGTGCCTGCACTCCAGCCTGGGTGACAAGTGAGACCCTGTCTCAAAAAAAAAAAAAAAAAAAAGAGAGAGAGAGAGAGAGAAAGAGAGAGAAAGGAAGGAAGGAGGGAAGAGACGGAGGGAGGGAAGGGACGGAGGGAAGAAGGGAGGGAGGGGCTGGGGCCGTGTTAACTGGGCTACACGAAGACGCTACATTGGAGGGTGGGAACTGAGCCAGACTTGGACATGGGGTGGAGACAGAGAAGATTCCAGGCACAGGTGCCATCCCAAACGATAGTTCTCATTTATTATATGAGCCCATGGATTTATTTTATTCTCTGCCCTGAGCCTTATGTTTCAAAGATGTTTGCCTTCCAACCTGTATTTATCGAATAATAGTTCATGTACCGAGTCCAGCCTAAGTGAGGAAGGCGTTTCCAACAACTTAAGTCCGTGGTGAGGCTAGACTTGGAGTTTCTATTTAGCCACAGCTTGAAACGCCAACAAGATTCATTCATTCAGCATCGGTTTATTTCCCTCTGCTGTGTACTCAGTCAAGGGAGCAGAGAATTGGTGCTGCAAAGTCTATAGCACATACATTGAGAGAGATTTTTGTTGAGTAGGAAGCTTGAGTTTATACACACTCAGCTGTTTGTTTTCTTGTCCGACAATGCCACGGCCGTCTTTGAAAACCTTCAAGAGCATCACTCACAGAATAAGGTCCTCTGAGACCCGCCGCGCTGGTAAAATGAGGACACTCCCAGGATGTGAGTTTTCCTGCCTCCCTTACCTCATCAATACCTTAAGATTTGGACTGACCTTTAGCGTTCAGCCCGACTGCCACCTCCCCAGGAAGCTGTCTTTGGTTTCCAGCAAAAGGGGTGTCTATTGGCACGTTTCTCTCTCCTTGTGGCATTTTCACAGCCTGCCTCCTGCTATTTGGGGAGAAAGCTCAGCTCCTGTTCCTTACCCTTAGGCAAGGGTAGGAACTGTGTGTACTGGTGTCCCTCACCCCCAGAACAGCTCCCTGAGCCCAGTACATCCCAAGAAGAAAAAAATCAGCAAGGCTTATAGGAGAATAACACAACACGCTTGACAAATTTGTCCTAATGGATGTCGGAAGAAGGCTGCACTTACCAGCTGCACTATGCACACGGCACATTTACAAAAACTGACTGTATTATGGACCATAACGTTTGTCTCAACGGAGGTCAAAAAGCTGAAAAAATACAAAACATATTTTCTGACCATAATGCAATGAAGCTGGAAATCAGTAACAAAAAGAGAACTCTAAAAGTGTTTGCAGATTAAGAGACACGCCTCTCATTTACAGATGAAATGATATGATGTCTGAGCTTTGCTTTAAAAATATTCTAGGCTGGGCGCAGTGCCTCATGCCTGTAATCCCAGCACTTTGGGAGGCCGAGGTGGGCGGATCACTTGAGGTCAGGAGTTTGAGACCAGCCTGGCCAACATGGTGAAATCCTGTCTCTTCTAAAAATATAAAAATTAGCCAGTTGTCGGGGGCGGGGGGGCACCTGTAATCCCAGCTTCTTGGGAGGCTGAGGCAGGAGAATCCCTTGAACCTAGAAGTCAGAGATTGCAGTGAGCCGAGATCGCGCCATTGCACTCCAGCCTGGATGACAGAATGAGACTCCGTTTCCAAAAAAAAAAAAGTTCTAGTGGCAAGGCAAAGTGTTTGGAGGGGATATAGATGAAAAAAGACTGGCCAGAAGTAAGTAGGTAAGTGTCTAAATTGGTGATAGGTAGATAGATGGTGAATCATTATACTGTTCTATACTATTCTCTCTCTCTCTCTCTCTCTCTCTCTCTCTCTCTCTCTCTCTCTCTCCCCCTCCCCCTGCCTCTCCTTCTCTCTCTCTCTCCCTCCCTCTCCCGCTCTGTCTTCATATATATATGTGTGTGTATATATATATATAAGGTGTATATATCTAATAAGTTTTTTTAAAAAAACAAATACATCTAAATTACCTGTAGGTCAAAAAAGAAATATGAATGGAAATTGGAAAATATTTTACTTGAACAATAATGATAATGCATGACAAATTTTTGAGATGCAGGTAAAGCCACACTTAAAGGCAATTTATAGCCTTAAAGGCAGTTAATCCCTCCATCTCAAAAGTTTAGGAAAAGAATAGCAAAACAAAAACAAAAACAAAAACAAAACAAAACAAGTCATGGAAAACAGAAAGAGAAGCGTAGTAAAACTCAGAGAAGAAATTAATCAATAGAAAACAATTAATAGACCCACAAAGCCAAACACTGATTTCTTTGAAGACTGATCACGTTTATCCCAATAGTTATTTGTTCCAGCAACACTGTGGAGTCACTTGGGTCCCTATTTCTCAGAGCTGATTTTCCCTGCTCCTTCCCCTGACTTTTCTCCCCTTCCCTTTTGTAGATGACATTCAGGGTGAGTCACCGGCTCCATGTGGGACAGAAGAGCCCGCCCGCACCTGCCCCAATGGGACCAAATGTCAGCCCTACTGGGAAGGGCCCAACAACGGGATCACTCAGTTCGACAACATCCTGTTTGCAGTGCTGACTGTTTTCCAGTGCATAACCATGGAAGGGTGGACTGATCTCCTCTACAATGTAAGTGATGCTGGGACGGTGTGTGTGGACAACCAGAGTCTCAGGGAGGTGACCTTCTGGGACCAGTGAGACTCCAAGGCTGCAATGGAGGGACCCTAAGCTGGGGGAGGCAGCCCAAGGATAACACAGCCCCCGTGAAGCTGGCCTGAGGCTCAGGCTTTGGAAGATTACAGGGACTCACGAGCAGAACTCTAACTATAGGGCATAGAAGTCTGGAGGGCCCCCAGATGCAACATCATTTTTCATTGTGCAAGTGTTTAGGTAAAATTTTAGATTTTTGAATATGGAAAGGTTATGTGATCCAAAATCAACACGGATAAAAGATAGAGTAATATCTTTGGACATAGGCACAGGGGCCCTGCACTGAGGTTCACCTGGCCCTCCTCCGGCCATACCACTCCCCGTGGGATGAGAAGTTCCTGAAGCCAAGGGGACGTGTCTACCAAGAGCTTGTGCCTCACTTTCTAGACCATGTTTGGAGTTACCAGGATCCCAGAATTCCTGTTCATGCCCAGATTCCATGAACTTGCATGTGATTCTCATATGGATCTGTTAGTAACCCACCTGAGGGCCAAGGACATCCGAGGGGTGGCTGTTGGCACAAATGTGGCCAGCTTGGATGTACAAGCTGGAATGCCCACACGTGTGTGGAGCCCCTCTGGCAGGACTTAGCCGTGACTAGGAAGAGAAAGGAACAGGGCTGGCTCTCCCCACACCTTGACCCAGTGCAGATATCCGGATTCTAAATTCCACCGTGACCTTCCAAAGTGTAAAGGAAGGTATATTTGCAAAGTAGAAGCATAAAGCATGTTTTATTTAGTTACCTTTTAAATATTTCCCCGTAGTATGTGGTCTTTTTTTTGTACTCTTGCCCTAGATCTTAAAAATGTGAGGGATGTTTCTGAAAAGATGTATCCTTGCATTCTATTTCCTCTTCCTCCAGTATGCAACCCCTTTGGTTCCTCAGAATATCCTTCCAGTGTTTATTTATGCAATTATAAACATAATCAAATCTATATCCTCCCCCCTCTTTCTTACCCCAAGGAATAGCATTCTATACATGCTGTTCAATTCTGTGTTTTTTTTTTGTTCTCATAACCACACATTCTAGAGATCTTTCCATTGCAGGACCTGGATGGTCTCTTCATGGGTGCACACTAGTATGCCCAGCTTATTTTTGTAGAGACAGGGTTCTACCATGTTGCCCAGGCTAGTCTGGAACTCCTGGGCTCAAGCGATTCTCCCGCCTCAGCCTCCCTAAGTGCTGGGATTATAGGCGTGAGCCACCACGCCTGGCCTTCTTTATTCTTTTGCACAGCTGCATAGCGTTCTATTGTGTAGCTGCCCATAATTTATTTGTTTGCCATGAAGAGAAATGCTTGACTGGCGTCCTGTCCACTGACGTCGAACATGATGCTGCTGTGCCAGGAGCAATGTTGCATGTACCTCGTCATACTTTTGCAGATATAGCTAGGGGGTTTGGAGGGTGTCCATTGCCAGAAGTGGGACTGCAGGATCAAAGACTAAATTCATTTATAATTTTAGTTTGGGGAAAGATTTTTGTTTTGTGTTTTTAGAGACGAGGTCTCCCTCTGTCACCCAGACTGGAGCGCAGTGGTGCAATCATAGGTCACTGCAGCCTTCAACTCCTGGGCTCAGGTGATCCTCCCACCCCAGCCTCCTGAGTAGCTGGGACCACAGGCACACACCACCATGCCTAGCTAATTAAAAAAAAAAATTTATAGAGATAGGGTCTCACTATGTTTCCCAGGCTGCTCTCAGACTCCTGGCCTCAAGTAATCCTCCTGCCTCAGCCTCCCAAAAAGCAAGGATTACAGGTGTGAGCCACCGCACCCAGCCTAAATGCATTTATAATTCTGATAGATATTTAGGTGTGCAAGTTTTAAACCCCACTCTATCCTCACCACAGTTCACCTTCCCTCATCTACTATGCAGGTAAGCAGCCCCCAAGCAGGTCACGTGTCAGCAGCTGGAGTGCGGCAGAGCCAAGGATTCAGGATCAAACACAAGGATGCCACAAGTGTCGTGACCCCGTAGAGCACCCTGGGGCTTCTCCACACACACACAGCTCTGTTGACCTGTGGAGATCTTATCTTCACCAGCCCTAAGGGCCAAAATTACCATTTAAGGTTAGGCCAGGAGTTGGCCTTCCTAGGGAGTAATACCTGGCTTCCTCCTGTACATAGAGAAGCTGAACTTTCCTCTTGGCTCTAGTGTATGTTCCTTAACAACCCATTTATGCCTAGTGTTCCATTATTGGAATGCTAGTTTTGTGGGAGTTATTTACATCCTGCTGCTCAAGGTCATCACTAAGGTCTGATTTTTCACACACAAAAAAATTGCAACCTCCAGCATAAATGGGTTAAGGAATTTCCCCACTTGTGGGTGGAGGGAGATTTGCAAAAACTCATCCTTGTAATCCTGATCAACAAAGGCCCGTTTTAGTTGGGAGTAGGCAGCAAAAGGAGCCCCACGAACAGTTGCGCCTGTCACGCACTGCACAAGAATGTCATTCATATCATAGACAACGTACGATTTCTGCTGTTATCATGATAATTTATTGACAGAAAAGAGGATGTGGGGAAGGGACATGGTGTTCTCATTTGCATGAAAAGCTCGTCTGAGTGTAGCATCTCTGGGAACAGGCGGCAGATCCGAGCTCAGGCCCTCTCTTGGCCCTCACCTGCGAACAGCTTGGACAAAGGGTCAGACCCAATTGGCCAGAACTCACTGGGGAATTTTTATGGGTTCTAGGTTTTTACTTTGCAAGGCTGGTGTGAGAGGAGCTCCAGCAGGAAATGAACCCTCCTGAAGACTAGGGAACTCAGGGAGAGAATGGGAGTGGGGATTGGGAGCTGAAAAACATTGTGAGCATAAAAAAGGGATATGTCACAGGGCTGGATGACCAGAGAAAGCGTCTAGGGGTTCAGATTAAGATGCTACGGGGTGTGCCCAGTGGTGGGACAGGAAGCGTGAATTTCCAGAGGGCTCAGTTATAAGTATCGTTGTCCAAAGGGTGTTTGCCCTGGAAGCCTCTAAGCTTAGAGCTAAGCCACCTCTGGGGACACAAACTGAGTGGTTAAGAGCAGAGACTCAGGTGTCAGCCTGCCTGGGTTCCTCCCGATTCTTCCACTTCCTTGCTGTGCAGCCTTCGACAAGGTGCTTGGCCTCTCTGTGCCCCTATTTCCACACGTGCAAAACGAAGAAAAGCATAGTCCCACCTCACGAGGCATGAGGACGGAGTAAGGTGGATTCGCATGAAGTATTTAGAACTGATCCTGGCCCAGGGTGACCTCCGTGTAAATCAAATTCCCCACCCTGAATGGTGTTCCTTTTAGAAACGTGCATGAATTTTTCATCATAACAGCTCCAGCAGCGCCTGAGGAAGTGGAGTGAGGTGTGAGAGGTCTTACTTTATTCCCTTCCCTGGCCCTGCTATTAACCACTAACTCAGAGTAGCTTTCTAGCACTTTCCACACATTTACATCCCACCCTCGTCCTTTGGTTAGCAGCCCATGCAATGATTTGGCCCTAATGTGAACCTAGAACACAGCTTCTCGCCCAGGGATGATTTCTGCCCCCAGGGAACACTTGGCAGTGTCTGCAGACATTTTTGATTGCCACAACTGGATGGGAAGGAGGATGCTACTGGTATCAAGTGGGTGAAGGTCATGGATGCTACTCAACATTCTGCAATGCACAGCATCCCCCACCTCCGCCCCACATAGAGAATGATCCAAGCCCAAATGTCAGTAAGGTTTCTGTCAGGAAACCCTTGGCCAGAAGACCGAGGTCCCTTGAGGGCAGGGATGCCTTATACTGCAATCACCTGTCACTCTCTGCCTCTCTCTGGGGCTGCTGTGATCCCCTGGCCTGCATGGACAACCCCTAGGAGCAACCTCCAGCCAGTGCCTGGAGAAGTCAGCGGATAAATACCCCAGCTCCCTCCCCATCAGGCGTTTTGCTGTGCCCTGCGTCTCTCCAGTGGGAACAGGCTCTGGTTTCCTGCAGGGTTAACCTGGTCACTTACACACCCTTCACTTACTACCTTCCGTTCCCTGCCTGGTATTTCCTGGGATGAACTTTTAGATTTATTTCCTGGGGCTGCTATAATGAAGCACCACAGACTGGGTAGCTTAAAACAACAGGAATTTATGGTCTGACAGTTCTGGAAGCCAGAAGTCCAACCTCAAGATGTTAGCAGAGCTGACAACACGCCCCTCAAAAGCCTCCGGGGGAGGATCGTTCTTTGCCTCTTCCTGGCTTTTGCTGATTTCCCACAATCTTTGGGATTCCTTGGCTTCTAGAGCCTTCATTCTCCATTCCAGTCTTCTGTCATCTAATAACACCCTCCCAGGCCGGGTGCGGTGGCTTATGCCTGTAATCCCAGCACTTTGGGAGGCCAAGGTGGGGAGATCACTTGAGGTCAGGAGTTTGAGACCAGCCTGGCCACCATGGTGAAACCCCATCTCTACTAAATATACAAAAATTAGCCAGGCGTGATGGGCAGGTGCTTGTAATCCCAGTCACTTGGGAGGCTGAGGCAGGAGAATCACTTGAACCCAGGAGGTGGAGGTTGCAGTGAGCCGAGATCATGCCACTGCACTCCAGCCTGGGCGACAGAATGAGATTCCTTCTCAAAAAAAAAAAAAAAAAAAAAAAAATAGCATCCTCCCTTGGTGTGTCTGTGTCTCTTCTCCTCTTCTTAGAAGGACATCAGTTGTATTGGATCAGAACCTACCCTACTCCAGTCCAACCTAATTTTAACTAATTACGTCTGCAATTACCCTATTTCCAAATAAGATCACATTCTGAGGTGCCAGGGGGTTAGGACTGAAGCATTTTTGTGTGTGTAGCAGGAGGACACAATTCCATTTATAACACCTCCTAAATAAACGAATTGCATGTGGACTCTTGTCTGGGGCTTCCCAAAGTGAGATAACCCCTCTCTCCACCCCTAAAACAACCAGTAGCATCTG